AACTTGGGGCTGTAGCCCAATGGCACACTTGGCCCGTTATGCCCCCGCAGCCCGCCGTGAGCTCCGCATTGATATTTACCGTTCGATCGAATAGACGGTCTGGATCAAATCGAGGCAGAACAAAACTGGCGCTGGCTCAAACCCTACCTCATTTCCACTCGTGTCCCCAAAATTTGCGGCTCCGACAGGAGAGGCAACCTCGTCGGCGACTCAAGGCACACTGGCTATGGCAGTGCGGAAGCCCCGTTAGTTGGAGCAGTGTGCCTGGTCATAAGGCCGCTCACTCCTCTGCCGAACGACGCCAGCCATGTCGACCTCATGGTGATCACGGGAGCTAATCTGTGCTTGCGATGCGCACGAGGCCCTCTGTGGGGAGGCGACCACCGGTCCTGGTCTTTGGTGGTCGACGACGACATGCGCGATGCAGGTGCCACGCAACATTCTCGTCCATAAGGGTAGCGTCGCTGACTATTTCTTTCCACGCGTCGTCCCAGGAGACTGCAACGTCGCCGGCGTCGGGATCCTCGAGGAGAGCGCCGATGCTGCAACATTAGGTGACGACCGATTCATTTCTTTTGGGGATTTCATTTTTAGGGTTTCTTGGTTGGGGAATTTTGGGCAAACATTAGTGATCTATTCAATTTGCAAAAGCCCATCTAATTTTGCATTAACTTGATCGATTACCACCGGAATTCTTGATCCTAATCATATATCATTAACTTCAGAGAGAGCCATTAAACTTTAAACATGATCAAACGCATTAACGTGAGACAATTAGGCCATAACTTAAAAAACATATTGCAAATAGGCCTAATTGGGGTTCTAGAGAGAGATCAAAACCAACTCATGATACCAATGCTAGAATAGTCTTTAGGGTTAACATAGATATTATCTTGATCTCAAGATTAGAACACCATAGGTAAAGAGCGGAAGCGTTACCTGAGATGGCCATGGGCAACGTGGGCAAAGACACCTCCCCCTGCCTGCTAGATGCAAGCATGGTGAAGAGCAACAACAGTCCAGGAGTGCCGCTGGCTTAGCCCTCACGACATCCATTGGTGGAGATGCAACAACTGGTCGGAGTAGATGCCACCAACACTGCCTTGGAGGTGGCCGATGGTGTTAGTCGGTCTTCGTCTCCTTTAGCACCTAATTAGGATCGGTTGTCAGAGAGAGGACGTGCCCTACCATGTGAAATCGTTAGTTACAAACAAGAGGTGTCCTTTTCCTTTTAAATTAGGTGCGTCCCCAAGAGGTGTCCTTTTCCTTTTAAATTAGGTGCTAGGGACGCGGGATCGAGACCAAGTCGCTAGTTCGGTGCCACCGATCAAGAGACATATGTGGAGGTTTAATTCTCTTTTATCTCTTAGTTTATTATAACCAGATACCAACATTCTCCCCCTTGATTGTAAGGTTAAGAGACATCATAAGGCCACTCTTAATAGAAATAATATTCAATGACTAATGAGGTGTCATTGAACCTCAATACTCACAGTGTACCATTCTACCTCAAAATGGATATCATTTTACTTTTATGAGAGTTGGTTTATTTGACAGTCCTAATTTCCAAGATCAAAAGGCTTTCTGAACCCATGCCAGCAACATAATCTTTAAAATGGATGGTAAGCCTTAGTAAGCGGAACCACAAATCTTTGTGAAAAGAATATCATATGCTGATCCTGGACTCTACGTTTCACAACATGAAACATAATTTCAATGGTTTATGTATGTTGTCCCGTTGGTAAGCGGAACTGCAATACCAATTGACCAGTTGTTACTCACATAGAGGACTGCATGTTCATAATCACAGTAAGTGGTTTATGTATGTTGTCTACCACTTTTATTTTGGGAATAAGATACTTTTGACATACAGTAGCCTCTTAACATGCCACAAACAAATAATTTGCATCATTGATAATGCCATGGTTGTCCTTTAGGAGCCTTTCCATGATAAAACTCCTCGTGCGAGGGTGCGGATGTAACATGACGTGGAATTCCTAATATTCACACACCTCGCCAAAATAGTGTCTGACCAACCCACAATTTTGAGGTTATCAAACTCATTATAAGTGAGCATGTAATCTGTATTGCCTTGCATGTACTATAAAGCTTGGTAATCGCTTTCCAGTGGCCTAGTTCCGGAATAAACACATTTTTGCCAAGCATCCGAAACAAAGATCTCTGTATAAAAGGAAAACGGACTGCTTCTCAAGAAGAGTCATTTTCAGCCCTCAGAACTACATTGCTCGCGCAATATTGATGTCATCCCCAGTAATAAATCTTGTGATGACACATTACCGGTAGCCACTCTGCTGCACATAGGTTCATCCTTTACCAATTGCTCCCTCAGTTCCAAATTAACTGAAGTTCTATGTTTGTCCCAAGTCGAACTTCTTCAAGTTTGACGAAATCTATAGACAAATGTGATAACATCTACGACATGAACAAATTAGTACGGAAATATAAAGAATGTAATGAATCAAATCTGGTGTTATAGACGTTGACATATTTTTTTAGACATTGCCAAAATTACAGAAGTTTGACTTAGGACAAACCTAGGATCTTCAACTAATTTCAAGTATCAACAAAACAGAAACGTAGCAGGAATACAGCGGAAAAAGTACAAGTATTTGATCCTCATTCCCATTGGCTTCATAAGTTGCTACATGTGGAATTTAATGTTATCATCTGAGTTAATTTCTTTTCTACCCTTACTTACCAGTAAACAGTATGTCATGTCCAGCAACATACCATGTTCCAGAAGGGGAAGAGATAAATCAAACTCAAAACGAAGCACTGCAATTTCTAAAGAAGAAACCCATGGCGGCAGAAAGAGGTTCATTACCATGGTAGGAGACTGCACTCTTCAGTTACTAAACCATTCTGACCTGACAGGTTAAATTGCACACCTAGTTTACAGAACTAATTGCCACATCTGCAAACACTATATGCACGACTAACAACTTCTTATAGTTCCAGCAAAGCAAGTTACCATGAAACCGTTAACTGAAGAGAGTCATCTCCTATTCCCAATCCTACATAACCCAAACGCATACAGTATATGATATAAGAGAGAAGAACCTAGTGCGCCTTCCATTTTGCAAGTAAGCGGTCGTGAATGTCTCCTTTCTTGACCTTTCCTAGGCTGTGCCTCAGCTTTGCCAGCGTTGAGGAGCTCAACTTGATACCCTGATCGATCATGTCCTCTGCATACTTGCATGCCTCAGGCAACATCTCATCCTTCAGCTTTGATACAAGCATGTTACCACCCTCCTCCAGTGGAGGCAGGCTATTCGCCGCCATGCACTTCCACACCTTGATCCCTGTCTCCCAGTCACGAGTATCCAAGAACATGCTGAGCGCAAGTGAACAATTCGCCTCATTTGGCCAACACTCGTTCTTGACCATCTCTTTAAATATTGCAGACGCCTCCCGGAGCTTCCTCCCCTTGAGCAAGAGCTTGAGGACCACATTGTATGTGTCTGTGTCAGGAAACACTCCATAGGTGGCCATGTCATCGAGGTACTTCACAGTAACCTCGGCATGCCCCAGAGTGCCCTGCAACATGATCATCGTGGTGTACATTTCCTTATCTGGGACGAGCCCACGGCGAAGGACAAAGTCATCCCAGAGAACCACAGCACCGCGCAATTCGCGTGCCTCAAGGTGTGCCGCCAGTGCAGCACGGAGGAACTTCTCCCCTGGTGAACACCTGTACCGGCGCAAGACAGCCAGATATTCCATCGCATCCGAGAGTGCCGTGGAAGAGCCACTTGAAACTAGTGTTGTAAGGAAAGAGTCGTAGGCAGGCACATTGGCAGGATCGAAGTCGAGAGCGTGCACCATTTCGTCGAACACCTCACGCGCAACGGCCGCGTTGCCGGCAGCCTCACAACCCTCCAGAAGGATGGCGTAGGAGTCGGCATCCGGCCGAGTGCCGGCCTCGGCACGTGCCACGGGGATCGCGGCGCGGGCGTCATCCAGCCGGGAGGCGCGGCAGAGCGCGGACAGGAGGGAGTTGAGCGCCGGCGTGTCGCGGTCCATGCCGTACCTGGGCATTTCCACAAACGCCTTGAGGGGGGAGCTGGTGGGGCTGGCCGCCAGGGAGGAGAAGACGGAGGCGAAGGTGGCGAGGGAGAGCAGGCCCTGGGCCCGCATGGAGCCGACGGTGTCCCACATGGGGTCGAAGAGGCGGTTCTTGCCGAGGAGGTCGATGATGAGGTTCCACGAATAGGGGGAGTGCTGGTGGTGCAGGTGGCGGTGGCCCGCCCAGCGGAAGAAGGCGGCGGCGGCGCGCGGGTGCGCGTAGGAGAAGCGGAGCACCTGCTCGACGTCGGAGGTGGTGACGCGGACGTCGGCGTCGTCGAGGGCTGCCTCCACGTCGGAGGCGGAGGAGGCCAGGATCTCGCAAAGGAGACGGATCTTGGGGGCCAGGTCGGGCGCGTCCTTGTACGTGGGGAACGCCGGGGCGGCCGGCTCGCGGGCGCGCTTGGCCTCCGGGCCGTCGCCG